AACTTCGGCCTTATCTGATTTTATCAACATTTTTAACGACCGGCCTATTCGTGCGAGGTGTATCTTTAACATCAACAATTTATTCTTATCTTTTGCAGAATATTGAAAATCTGTTGTACAATTAATATAATATTAAGTATCTACAAAAGGAATATAATATTGTCTATATTCGTCATTAAAAAATAAAAAAATCGGGGACAAAATATGTCAAAGCATCATTTTGGTAAATAATGTTTGAGCCAGAATTCATACTCCATTATTAAGAGGACAATCATCTATTTTGACCGGCTGTCATCTATAAAATTTATGTGCTCTCTCTGTCCGAATTGGCTGTAATTTGATATTTTGGGTTCTAGGTATCACCAATATAAAGAAACTCACCTTTTAATTATACCCTTCACCAAAGGAAAACGAGATAGACACATGAGAATATGCATAGAATCACTTTCTTAGTCGATTTATGCATGTCCGTCCGTCCGTCTGTCGATGTTAAATTGTAAACAAAGTACAGGTCGCATTTATAATCCGAATTGGATGATATTTGGCATAGGTCACTTATTCGGCCCAAGGACGAACCCTATTGAAATTGGGAAAAATCGGTTCAGATATAGATATAGCTCCCATATATATTTTCGTCCGATTTAATGTAAAGGGTCCCTATATATCTTTCGATTTGCACGAAATTTGGTATAGCGTAATGAATTAGGTCTAGAATGATGTGTGCAAAGTTTCGTGAAAATCGATTCAGATTTGGATATAGCTCCCAAATATATTTTCGTCCGATTTAAGATAAACTAACTTTCGATTTGCACGAAATTTGGCAGAGCGTAATGAATTAGGTCTAGAATGCACCCATATATATTTTCGTCCGATTTAAAGTAAATGGTGTACCAAAGACTATATATGGGCAATATTGCCAATTTTTTAACATAGCTGAAGCGGAGGTTCACCCCTTTATAACTCGGGAACTATTTAAGTATATGAAAGAAAGTGAATAGTTTTGGGTTAATTGATCTGTCGTTTCAAACTGTTCATGATATTGGCCTCCAAACTTTATTTTGGTGGAAGCTGTGTCTACTTTAATGTAAAAAAATGTGTAAAAACAGGTTGAGGCGAACCAGTTTTTTTATGTTCTCTATCGATTTGTGACTAAGCCACTCATTGCACGATCTTCATGTCAAAATAAAACTAGAAGCCAACAAAATATGGACTACGCCCCTTATGTATCATTTTTCAAAAATTTCACTGCATCTACCTTTAAATGATGCTGACATTTTGAAGCTCGATTTTGAGTGTTTTTTTAATTTTACTTCTAGCTTTAATACGCAAACAGGAATTTATAATAACCGATTATAAGATTATTGTAGTCGCGAATCTGCGTAATTTGATATGTATTTTGTGTATGTAGTATGCACAGCTTCAGAGGTGCGAATTTTGTGCGATCAAATTTCTAAAAAACCTATTTTTCGGGCCAAATTTTTAAATCTGTCAACTGAATGACATGGGTACCCGCGATCAGTAAAGTTTTTTACGTTTCGGATGATATAAATTCATTTTCGTGAAAATCCATCTACTAGAACGGCGGGAACTGGCCTTCCAAAAACACGAAATTTGGCAAAAAATGTTTTTGAAAATATCGCGGATTTATTTGCGTTTTCTGTGTATCATTTTCGCTTCAATAAATGACCTCATACGGATTTTGATCTTTTTCGAAAAAAGAACTTTAAAAACTTCAGCCGAAAGAGAGATGTACGCAATTTATCTCAAAAATAGATTTTGCTGGCACATCCATGGTTCTTAATGGACCACATTGAAATCGGTATAGATCGATGTATTTTTTAAGGGTGCCCACCGAAATCGGATGCGCGTTAATGGCATATGGAGTTTTCGGAAATTATTCGCGTTTTACGATTTTTTGGGTACTTCAATGCAACGTGTGGCACATCTTAGCCGTCAAATGAAATTTCGCAAAATATATATGGATTGGAAGATAAACTTCAGTACTTCCTGGAAACCGCATGCGCATCAAATGATTTTGAGAATTACGCGATTTACACGCAATTTAAAATGTATATTTCATAATATTTTTTTATTTTAAGATTTATTCCTATTTATAGAATTCTAAGATTTATCGGAAGGGTCCTGATATAATCCGCAAGGCGTATACTTATACACAAAAAGTGATTATTATTATATATGTTATTATTATATATGTAAATTTTTCGGCGAAATTCGGGTAAAATAGCAGAATAATCCCAACATTTTTTCTGAAATTTTTTGTATACAATTAAAAAAATAAATATGATGACATTATTTTTTCGAACCAAAAACAAATATTTTTCCTCAATATCTTGTTTTGTTGTCGCTGTGATTTACAAACCGCTACACGGGCTTGTGTGATTTTGATATCATTTGATACACCATCGTGTTTAGATTGTGTAGATATTTTTAAATTAATTTTTAGGTGTGTGTGTGTATGTCATTAATATAATGAAAATATTGATGTAATCTGCTATATTTTTTTTATTTTTTCATATTTCGCGAAGATGTGCAACTTTATCGCGATTATTAAAATATATTCATATTCTTATTTTACGGAGGAAGATATATATCAACGTTTTTGGTCAATATAATAAACGGCGTAATTTTAAGATTTTTTTCTTATGCCCAAAATTAAAACCTCGATAACTTTTGCGCGCATCAACCAAAAATTTGATCGCGAACGGTTTCGGAGTCAGAACATTTTTCTCTTTATGTGTACCACAAATCATTGATGTGCCACAAAAACAAAAAAGCTGATTTTTTGAAAATGGAATATTAAAAAATTGGCAATATTGCCCATATATACTTCGATTTGCACGAAATTTGGCATAGCGTACTGAAGAACGATGTGTGTTAAATTTTGTGAAAATCGGTTCAGATTTAGATATAGCTCCCATATATATTTTCGTCCGATTTTCGGTAAATAGTGCACCAAAGTCCCTTTGTATCCTTCGATTGGCACGAAATTTCGCTTAGCGTGCTGAATTAAGTCTAGAACGATGTGTGTAAAATTTCGTGAAAATCGGTTGAGATTTAGATATAGCTCTCATATATATATTTTTGTCCGATTTTACGTAAATAGTGCAACAAAGTCCCTTTATATTCTTCGATTTGCATGAAATTTGGCATAGCGTACTGAATTGAGTCTAGAATGATGAGTGATGAGTTCCGGTAAAATCGGTTTAGATTTCGACATATCTCCCATATATATGTTCGTCCGATTTTATGTAAATGGTGCACCAATGTTCCTATATATAGCTTTCGATTTGCACAAAATTTGGCATAGCGTACTGAATTAAGTCTAGAGAGATGTGTGTTAATTTTCGTGAAAATCGGCTCAGATTTAGATATAGCTCCCACATATAGATTATATTCTTAACAACGCGGCGTACCGAATAGCGTGTATCAATTTTGCTATAAATCGTTTTCCATAAATTTCCCCATGTTACGCAGGCGGCTCTAAATCTGCTCGAATGAAATTAAGATTAGGATAGGTTGGAGAAAGAGGGAACATAGACATGCAATTGTTAGGATACATATGTACAATATACCCAAAGTGGTGAAGGGTCGGCCCAGCACGACTTTACTACTTTCCTTACTGTTTTTTTTTTTTTTTTTTTTTTTTTTATTTTACAAAAATGTTTCTTTAACAGTGCGTACAAATTACTATTCCTTGTGGCCTATGGACTGCAAAATATCCTTGGAAAACCTAGTCGAAATAGTTCTACTTCTTATTCCCGTCGGATTTTTTCTTTTTTCATCTATTTTTCAAAATCTGGTCGCCTTACATTTATCCATATTATCAGAACATATACAGTTCGTATTTAGTATCACAGTATTTTTTTTCTAAATACACTAATCAAAATACTAAAAGTGTTGCCCTTCATAGATATATTGTCAATGTTTATCTATATATGTATAAAATGGTATCAACATTTATTATAATACATTTATGAATAGTGAAAATGTATAAAAAAGTTGGTCTAAACTTGTGCATTCATTAATTATTTGCTGTTTTCTAAACCAATCTAGACAAGATATATAATTTATTTTTCCAAGTTATGGCAATTTTAACTTTCAGTTGAACATATTGAAAATCTTTAAACACATGTTGTAAATATTTATATTTAACTAAATCGTTCATCACGGTTTCTCGCAAGAACATTTTCTCCGTATTTTTTACTCTCGCACTCACTCACACCGGATATGACATTTCATTAAGTAAACCAACACTTAAGCACTTACGGTCCAGTATCATTTTTTTGAGATGTAAGTAACGCACACGGTGGTACTGGCTATTGATGTTAATTGTAAACTAACACTCACACAGGGCTGTCCTACATCCTTCCATCTTAAAGAGCTTTAACGCAATTATACCCTCCACTGAAGGTTTTTTTCGTTTTTGCATTCCCTCTTCTATTTTAATGTTACAATTTCAATTTTCACTTTCTCATGGATTTTATCATTGTTTGTTTTCCATCGTAGTTCTGCTCAATTTACGAGGGATGCTTCAACAATATCAACTATTAATGATCATCACAAGTGGACAAAAATTTAAATTTTATTAAATTTTAAAAAGAGGATATTTGTGTTAATTTAATCCATTTAATTCAGAACGCCCTTCCCTAAATAAATGTTTTCTAATGCCGTTAGAAATTAAATCGCACTTCGTTTTTGGCAATCAAATGCTGAGACATGCTGTCACGAAGTTGAATAAACTTGCATTTTCCGCTAAACAATGCAAACACAAAACCTATCCATCCCTTCATTACCCACATGCGTAACGGATGCTTCACTATCGTTGTCCTCTCCCAACTATATGCCATTGATGGCCATTACTGCGGACTTTTCATGCATGTACTTACCAATGATGATGGCGATGACGACAACAATGATGTCGATGGTGGTAGTGGATAATGCATTTCCTTGAGTTTTTTTTTTTATTTTGCAGATTTGAAGGCCTGCCCGAATACTTAGAACAGCTATGGAATGAACATTAAGGAGCATCGCACAGTATCCATACTCAAGTATCCTTTTCACGAACAAACAAAATGCTAAGAACTGTTGGCACAACAATAGCCTGCAGTTTAATCATTATGCTGGTGCTTCATACAACCCCCGTCAGATGTAAACGAAGAGAAATGATTGCCGGCCGACTGGAAAATGTCACTCAGACCATAACAAAAATACTGAAGGGCTATGACATTCGACTAAGACCGAACTTTGGTGGTAAGCTGTATTGGCGGGAGGGCAGCATTAAATCAAATGTATGTTAATTAAATTATATTTGTTGTTATTGTTTCATTAAAACAGGAGAGCCCCTTCACGTGGGAATGGATCTGACAATAGCAAGTTTCGATGCAATTTCAGAAGTCAACATGGTGAGTTTATATAAAATTAGTGTTCAGAGCAGAGCCGAACACCCTCAGTGTAATATTTGGATTCGAAGCAGATGCTAACTAATTACTTTATTTACTTTACTTGGTAAATGGTTATTAATGAGCAATGCGAAGCAAAAAAGGGTGTTGGGTGTGTAAACAGAATTACAAGCAAACAGATTGAAAAGCTAATGGCAATGAATGATACTAATTACAGCTGTTGCCAAATTTTGTATAAACATTAGGTTGATCTGTTTAACATTGCGAAACTTCATCGCAAATCGTTTAAATTCCTTGAAGCTGAGGTTTGCAAGGTTATAACTCGCGAAATATGAACATATTGCATATAATTTAAATTCAATTCTATAAAATGAAGTGTTCTTGTCAAAATCTTAAAATATTGGTAATAAATAATAAGTTACGTGGAAGCTGTGATGGTGGTAATGTAAAAAAATGGGTGAAAATGCGTTGAAGCCAACGAGTTTTTTTTTTTGTGTTCGTACCCGATTTGTGGCTAAACTACACAACGCACGCACATGTGATCCGTGACGAAGTTACAGAATACCCCATGGACAATATGGTTCTAATGTATGATTTTTCGATATAATCACTGCATCCACCCAAAAAGGATGCTGACATTTTGAAGCCGGATTTTCCGTGTTTTTTTGAATTTTTCTTATAATTGGGATGCACATTCAGATAATGGACTAAACTAATTATAGGATTGTATAACTCGTGATTTTGCTTCGTTTAGTGTATATCTCATGAATGTGCTCACTATAGCTTCTTTGCAATTGGGTTCCAAAGACGAAAATTTGGTGCGTACATTTTTATAAAAAACATATTTTTTGAGTCTAAAATTAAGAAAGTCCATTCAAATTCCGTGGAACCCCGCGTGATTTTTTTTACGTGCCGGATCTAATGAGCCCATCTATATTCAATTCCGTCCAATAAAACGGCGGATATAGGTACCTTGAATGTGGGAAAAACTGCACAAACTTATTTTGACAAATTCGCGTATATAATCGTGTTTTTCTTCGAATTGATTTTACATACATTCATCATTGTGTTATCATATTCGCGAATCTGTTTGAAAATAGGTCAAAAATATATCGATACGCGAATAATATGCGTATTTTATTCAAAATCGATTGTGGAGGCACATCCGCGGTTCTTAACCGATCCTTTTAAAATAGGTGTCCTTTTGTGTATTTTCATAGGAGATTACTGAAATCGGATGCGCATAAAAATCGCAAGCAAGTTGCGTGATTTTTAGCCATTTTTAGGGTTTTTGCATAGTAAAGTGCATCGAGTGGCACACATGCGCATCAACTGATTTCAACTAATTCGCGAATTGCAAGCTTTTCAATATTGATCATTTTTATGAATTGTATGTGCAATATATTTGGTCACTTTTAACGACGAAACTCTTATTAAATGAATTTACCGATATTTAACAATCATCTAAAAAAAATTGCAGAAGAAAGCGTCGTATATTTTAGAAGATTAAGGCAAAACCGTATCCTCTTAACCATACTAAAAAAAATCGAAAATTCCAAAAAAAATTTGTTTTAATTCAAAAATTAATTTATTTTATTTTCCGATATCTTCATGTTTCTATTTGTTTTTCGCGACTATTAAACCGTATTTCAGTGTGATTTGACTAGTATGCAAAGAAAACAATGGTGTTTAAGCGTTTGTGAAAAAATTCGCGAATTACAACGAATAGGAATACATTTAATTTATATTTGAAATACAAGATTTAAAACCGCTATAACTTTTGTGCGCAGCATCCGAATTTGTGAACGCGAACAGATTTCGAATCAGCATATTTTTTTTTATCCTATATACCAAAAATCATAAATGTGCTCGCAAAAATTTTTTTCCAAATTTTTTTAATGGAATTTTAAATGAATTTTGTAATTTCCCATATACTTTCGAATTTTGTTATCATGTGAACATTTGCGTGTTCTAATAAGATTTTTATTTCATCAGTGATGTACAGTTAAAATCTAACAGACCTATTAAGCATGTATATTCAATTAATAAAATAGTAATATGTATATGGGAGCTATATCCAAATCTTAACCAATGTCCACGAAACTTAGCACGCATCATCAGCATCTAGTCTTAATTCAATACGCTATGCTACGTATATACTCCATTTTAGAGATTTTATATTGGGACGATATATTTTATATTCGCTATCAATCGATGACATTTGCTAGGTTTGCATCAGTTCATGTTTTTTCAATATCACAACATATTGGCCCACCATTTGTTATACCGATCATCAATGGGCTGACACGATATAAAAATCCGCAAACCTACGCCCCACTGATCCTAACAAATTTTAATTAATACCCGGGAATATTTAATTGTATAATGGAAAAAATCAAGACATTCTATTAAAGAAAAAAATCAAGAAATTCTTAATTTACTCCCTTATGAAGTATTGAACGTAATGACACCCTAATATTTAGACACACACAAAACCAACACCGACGATGACGATATGAAGGAAGTTATTTACAAATTTAATGGCATCACCTACACACAGACACTCACACGCAAACCTACAAACGAATTGCAAACAAACATATTTTCACTTCATTTCATTCCCCCTGAATGAATGGACGAATGGAAGCTTGTATGATTGAGTGTGAATTGATGACGGCTTGTGTGTGACTCTGTGGATATTTTCCAGTTGAGGGATTTGCATTCTCTTCCTCTTCCATAGACTCTGAGTAGAGAGTAAACCTCTCTTGCATCTTGTTTTCAGGACTATACAATTACCATGTATCTGAATCAGTATTGGCGCGATGAGCGGTTGGCATTCAATGCCTATGGTCCCTACTATGATGACGATGCGGATGATGATGGTGTCAACGATGTGCTAACACTCTCAGGCGATTTTGCAGAGAAAATTTGGGTGCCGGATACATTTTTTGCCAATGATAAAAATAGGTAAGGAAGTCGACTATAAATTTTAATGTACTTTTTCTAATGTTGTTGTTATTGTTAGCTTTTTACACGATGTTACCGAACGCAATAAACTGGTACGATTGGGTGGAGATGGATCCGTTACCTATGGCATGCGATTTACAACAACACTAGCCTGCATGATGGATTTGCACTATTATCCCCTGGATTCACAAAACTGCACCGTAGAAATTGAAAGCTGTAAGTTGAGAATTTTAAGCCAACTACGCGTATACATATATGCACACATTGAGAGATCTGACTTCCATTCCACTTCCATGTAGATGGTTACACTGTCAGCGATGTCGTCATGTATTGGAAGCCAACACCAGTGCGCGGTGTAGAGGATGCCCAACTGCCACAATTTACAATAATCGGCTATGAGACAAACGATCGCAAAGAACGCCTTGCCACTGGGGTGTACCAACGTCTGTCGCTATCCTTTAAGCTGCAGCGCAACATCGGCTACTTCATCTTCCAAACATACCTGCCAAGCATTTTGATTGTAATGCTCTCTTGGGTTTCATTTTGGATAAATCACGAGGCAACTAGTGCTCGTGTGGCGCTAGGTAAGTGGAACGACAATTGAATTGTATTGTTTCGAGAAATTAATCGATAACTCTCTCTTTGTGCGTCTAGGCATTACCACTGTCCTTACTATGACTACCATAAGTACGGGAGTTCGCAGTTCCTTACCGAGGATATCATATGTCAAAGCCATAGATATTTATCTGGTCATGTGTTTTGTGTTCGTATTTGCTGCCCTACTGGAATATGCGGCCGTCAATTATACGTATTGGGGTAAACGAGCTAAAAAGAAAGTGAAACGTGGTAAAGATGGTGATAGTAAAAAATCAGGTAAGCGAAGACGTCCCTCACAAACGAACCTTATGATACTTTCCTGCCAAACATTTTCCATACTGATCAAATATATATGTAACAACCTCTCTCACGAAAATCAATTTTCTTTTAAGGGAAACCTGACAAATCTGAGACCTGTTCGACTGCCGAGGATATCATCGAGTTACAAGATGTTCGCATGAGTCCCATACCATCACTGCGCAAGGGTAACTATAACAGCACACTAAATTCTCTGGGTGCAGAAACATTGGATTTGGCCAAATTTCCACCGAGTTTTCGAATTGCACGCAACTATGGAACCACAAGTCGTTCAAATCTTAGATACCGGGGCCAGAGAGGTACGTGACTGCTCGATTATGAATTGAATAACACATTTGAGTTTCTTCCACAGGCAATAAACCTCGTGTAATACATGCCCTGAAAAAGGGCGCATCTGCCATTAAAGCCACCATTCCCAAAATCAAGGATGTCAACATCATCGATAAATATTCACGCATGGTTTTCCCCGTTAGCTTTATGGCCTTCAACCTCGGCTATTGGCTTTTTTACATTTTGGAATGATAGTACATCCAAACACTTCACACTTCCAAGTAGAGGCCATGATACCCCTTCTTCTGTAGTGTGTAGTGTTGGTACCGCTGCCGCAAAAAAAAAAAACAACAAAATCCAAAACAAACCATTGTGAACGTCATCAGGACGGGCACAGACCTGTGTATATTTAGAATAATTTAAACTGGAGAAAACTGTCTCTCCCACCAAACAAAATCCTTTACCCACCCAAGTACACAGATACTAAGTCACCCCCAATTACTCTCCAATTGCTCTCCAATATAACACAATTTTACAAAATTTGAAACGAGATGGAACAAGTCAACATAAGAAAATATATTTTTTGTTTTTGTTTTTTTCCTTTAAGATAGAATTTACCTACTAATCAGGAGATTACGGAATAGAACCATATGAATTGTAATGTCTATTACCAATGGATATCCTTCCAAACAATTTTAGATTTCTATTAGCTTAAGCCAACATTTGTATCTGATAATTAAGAGTACAACTAAATCGAAACCTAAAACAAACGAGAAACCTGCAGGAACAACGTGGTCACACTTCAACAGCTTGGCACGATACAAAACCAATCCCAATAATCTATCGCCAAATCCAACAACAACAACTAATGATCCTCACCTGGCCAAAGAGAGTCCTGATACATTTTTTAAGTGTAGATATAGCAACAATAATAATAATAATACGAAATTATCGTATAATGATAAGTGTGTACTATTGTGATTGAAAATTGTTTTTATCAACTAAGAACAGAACAACAACAACAAAAACGAACAACAGAACCATCATTCCAATATCAATTGTTAGTCAAGTAGAAAAAATTAAAAAGCAAATTCCGCAATTAATTAAATCCATACAACTAAGATTTTCCCTTTTCAAACAAAACAAAAATCAAAACTATGAAAGTGGTGGTAATTAAATAAATAAACCATGTCATTAAAACCATTTTAAGACGAAGTGTTTTATTTGCATGACATATGTTTGCCGACGGAGGTGGGTGGGTAGCCAGGTGGGTAGAGCATGGGCAACTCTTCCAATCTATCATTTCTGACCATAATAAACTCTCTATACACGTATTTAATTCGCCACTCCGGGTTCTTGGAAGGGGAATAACATTTTACAAGAAAATACGAAATATAGGATCATAAAGGTCCCGTCGATTCCCCCTTTATATATATGTTAAAATTTTTAGCACTTTTTGAGCACGGAAACAAATCAAATATATTTAAATTGGTTTATGACCACATTTGTTATATTCAGCAATGGTAGAGTTTCAGATTTTACTACACATCCTCAATATCCTAAGGAACAAGGGATATTGTACCACAAATCAAATATTCCTCCTATTTCAACTATAACTATTTGTTTAAGGCAACCTCCCCCATTATCGATTTTAAAAAAATAGTCCATTTTTGGAAAATTTTCCATTTTTGACCACAAACTATGTTAAAAATAGGGAAGATCTTCATCGATTTATCCTAGTAAAAAATGCAACCGATTGGATTAGTAGTCTTTGAGTTATTGTGCCCGCCTTTCATAAAAACACAGTTCGGAGAAGAACGCTTTTAAAGTTTTAGAATCACTCTTGCCGACATTATTGAATTAGTGTAGGTTCGAATTAAATCAATATACAAAAAAATTTGAAACCGTGAATGGTGATTACCTTTACAGTACACACATTTCGGATACATTGACACTTATTTTTTGGCAATTCAAATAGTACAAATACTATTTGATACTCACGGCATTATACAAGGTATTTTCATGCAGACATATGATTCCAAGTTGTGCATAATTTTACTTTTGACAACATTTAGTTTTCAAATTTAAAATGAGAATATCCTCATTGGGAAAGTACGAAAAGTAAAGTATTATGGAAAGTAGTCTCATTTGAGAAATTGAAAATGACAACCTAACCCATCTATCAGTTTCAAAAAAAATTAAAAATAAATTCCATAAAATTGCATGTATGTCGATTTGCATTTTTTTTAAAAAAATAAAAATTTATATTTTATGAAGCTGCACATAGCTCTGGTTGTTATAAGTTTTTATTTATAGGTTTTAGAGGTAGAAAACTTAAAAATATATATTAAAAATATATATTGTATAATTATGCCATGGTTCTATGGCATTTATTTTTCATATTATTTGAAATTGATAGATGGATTACAAATTACAAAAAAGGTTGCCATTTTTAATTACTCAAATGGAACTACCTACCATAATTATGCCATGTTTGATAATATCTCAATTACCCATAACAAACATGTAAATTAATGTTCATACTCTATTTTATACTTCATAAGCAGTCCGAGTTCTAGTTCTCATCATGCTGAATTTCATTACATTATAGAATACAATATGTATTTTACTACAGTTCTCGGATAAGCAGCAACCTTCTACAAATCAATATTTTCCCATTTTTTCCTTTATAAGTCAGTAGTAAAACGGGCAAATTTTGTTTATGGACGAATGAGTTGAGAGGAATAACGGGGGGTACAGATATACTTGTATTCCGCAATTCTGTTTCGTTTCGTTATTCATTGCAATAAAGCTGACGTTGGCCACAGAAAAGTTTTGCATTTTCTTTCATTTTATGTTTCTGTCGGCAAACAATCACCAAGGCAGTTAATAAAATTAAAATCTGTTGCGAGGAAAAAGAAAGTCAATAAAAATATCTGCTCTTTTGTTGTCAAATAATACAAATTAAATTTTAATATGTCTTCAATGCAATCCACGTCTATAGCTTCTTCAAGTAGTTTAAGAGTTCATTTCATAATTAAGTTGTCTCTTTTAATTCCTTTTTTTAATTTTAATGAACAATGGTCAAACGAGAAAATGAATGTCGGGAAGAATTCGAAAAATCATAAATTTAACGCAAGCATTATATGCCTATCTAAACAACAATGAAATTTTTAAAGAAATTGAGAAGACAAATTGTTATGAAAATTTGCTCCTGCGACTACTGACTTTGTTCGTATAGTTTTTTCCAATTTACGGGAACACGCACAATATTTCAAATGTTGTTCGGTGTATTTGACAGTGATTGCAATCACTACCAATTACTCAAAAATAATGTGAATACTCGTTCTGGCCAAACATGACAATTTGTTATAATCATTCATACTTGCATGGTTATTCGTATGTGTGTGTGTGTGCGTCGTGTTTATGTGAAAGCATGAATGTCATTTGTCATGACATTTGATGTTCGAGGAGCAACATGTTATTTGTGTCAGTATGGAGGAACAAATTCAAAACAAACATTGTAAAAGCTCCCCTACATGCGCACTCCTTTCCCCATAATCCTTAGGAGAGATATTGAGAGGACCTATTGCATGAGAGAGAGATTTTTGACTTGGCCAACATTAAACACACTGACCAATCTTAAATTCGAATATGTGGAGTCAGTGATTTAACTGTTATACTACAACTAATGCTACGAGCATACCAATAGCCATAGCCATTAACATCACACCCCACCCCACCACCACCTCCACCAGCAGCATCAAGTGTGTGGGTGTCTTTACAATTTACACAAGAAACTGCTACATTGAATGAGACTTTATCTTGGATTATTTATTTGAGCATCCTACAGGTTTCAAAAGCTTTCGCCATTCGAATTGATTTATCCTTTTCCAGCTGCGGACAAATGTGATTTAAATATTGTTTGTCTTGTTTAGGAGATGTCGCAGCATTGTCACAACACTTACGCGATTAAATAATAAAGTAAATTCTGAGAATAGTTTTGAGAAAAATATCGTCAATTTTCATAGAATTGATTAAGCCTAAAAATAGTTTTAATTTAGTGCGCTACAACGTTTTGACTGGCATTATTAGTCATTTAGTTTATTGCTTCTCACAATGTCATATCATATTTTAATCTTTTCTTAAATAAAATATTTAATTTTGGCTCGGATGGACATTCATAAAAATGTCTTTATACAGCTCTGATGGTAGTTAAAATAGGATTCAAAGAATAATCATTACAACCCAAACCTATACCCTCGATTGAAAATATTTTAAGCCTGTACATATTCACAAGAGGGATTCCAAAGATTCGTATTGTAAACATAAAGATTTTTAATAAAAGGAAACAATATACGTACATCAGGCAGACATACATAGCATCTTTCGAATGTTGTCTTCCGACCAAAACAAGTTAACGATGATGATTACAAGAAATATGCATTGATAAAATCCCCATTTATTTGCCCTGTAGGATATATTCCATTCGCCTTCGTTTCAGCTCAGCTCTTTATTCGGTTGTGTTTTATTCAATTACTGGACATATAATTGGAATAGAGATGCCATATGACACATTGGTCAGGTTATTCGCTCATGTCGTTAATGGACTTAAATTCCACAACGAATCATCCCATAAACGAATCGTGTGTATGGAAGTTTTTCTCCGATACCTTCATTGATGTAGCCCAAACGATGGGAACTCTGTTGTGATGCTCTGTGTAAGAAATTCCCATCACATGAACACACAGATACTGGCAAGCACACCTAAAGAGCATACCCAAAGCTTTCTCGCAAAGCTTTAAGCTAAAGCCTTTCTACGATGTATACAAGTTACAGCATCTGTATCTGGAAAATTTTCACAAAAGAATCAATTGTTATCCGAGAGTTACTAACGAAAGTCATCTAACGAATAGAAATGTAAATGTGAATAAATTTAAATTGAAATTCTGCAAAAATTCCAAAATCAAAAAAAGAAAAATACAAATTATTGGCAATTTTGAGAAAAGAAAAAAAACGAAAATAAGTGAATTGCAAATTGTGTGAAAATATTAAAGTGAATTATAAAATTGCAACAGCTGCTCCTAAATTTTATATGTGTGAAAAATTGCCACCTTGCCAAATGAAAGAAAAAAGTGTACATAAAAATTATTGCAAATGAGCTGTAGATGCCTTTATCAAGTGTAAAATGTGAAGTGTTTCGAAGAAAGTTAGAGCTAAGGAATAAATTTATATTTCTTTATTTTTCAAAAAAAAAATGTGATTTAGATAAAAAATTAAGAAAGAAAATATTACACGTATTAAAAAGAAGAAGCTAAAGTAAGAAAGAAAAAAAAACTAAATTATTGAG